AGGAAGGGGAAGGGAGGAAGGGAGGGAGGAAGGGGGAAGGGAGGAAGAGAGGGAGGGAGTAAGGGAGGAACGGAGGGAGGGAGGAAGGTAGGTTGCCTCCGGAAATTCTATGAACCTGAAGAAAAGAGGAAAGGTTCACGTTGAAGACTTTCATTCATAGTGTGGCTATGTGTCTACAGCTCTGCAGCACTTAATAACAACAGTATTCTTGGTTGATAGTTGTGTTCTTTGAGTCTTTGATATATGTCACTCCACTGTCTTCTTGCTCACATGGTTTCTGCTGAGAAATCTGCACTTATCTGCTCTCTCTTGTAGGTTACTCTTTGATTCTCCCTTGCTGCTTCCAGAATTCTCTCCTTATATCTGGTTCTGGCAAATTTGAATATTATATGCCTTGGTGATTTCCTTTTGGGGTCTATTCTATATGGTGTTCACTCATCTTCTTGCATATATATTCTCTCATTCTTCATTATGTCTGGGAAGTTTTCTTCTAGTAATTCTTCCACAACTTTTTCGGTGCCTTTACTTGCTTCTTCCTGTTCTGGGATTCCAATGATGTGCATGTTATTTCTCTTGATGGTGTCCCACATTATTTTTACCTTTTTCCTTATTTCTGATTCTGCTTTTTGCTCTAGCAGATCAGTGCTGACAATTCTATCTTCTATTTCACTGGTTCTGTGTTCCACCTCTTCAACTCTGTTCATGTGTCGCTCCATCATATTGACAGCATCTGAAACATTGGATCTCATATTTTGGATCATGATTTGTTTTCCAGAGCCTCTAATGTTTCATTTATCTGCATTGTTGTAGGTTGGTTTTTTAAGCTCCTTCTGGTTTTTGCTTGCAGTGTCCTGTAATTTTTTAAGTTTTTTTTCACCCATTGAAAATATTCAATTATTGTTCAATTCTGTGTCAGAAAGTTCCATCAGACTTTCTGGCTTCAGGAAATCCACTGATACTGTGTCACTTTTGGGGGGGTGACATCTTTGATTTGTGCCTGTGTAGGGTGTGTGATAGCCTGCTTCTTGTGTGACATTGCTGTGGTAGAGTTTTTCCATGCCTAAGGCAATAATAGGTTATTGATCTTAAGTCACTGCTGTAGAAGAAAGTGGGGCATTTAGCAGCCTCTGTTTCTCTCTGAACTACTGACCCAAGGGAAGTTTCAGATCAGGGCCTGCGAAAGCAGTGTCTTCTGTTGCAGCTAGGTGAGACTGAGGCATTCTGGACTAAAGGCAGTCAGCTGACTGGACATGAGGAAATGCAAGGTGAAGTGTGGAGGCACAGCCACAGGGCATGGGCAAGGGCACAGGATGGGTATGGGTGCAGGACGTGGGCACAGACTCTAGCCAATTGGGTACACAAGGGAACCTTACTCAAATTCCAGCTGTCCAGTTTGCTGCCTGGCAGCACAGCACCCAGAACAGCATAAGCCAGTCCCTGTTTTTTCCCCTGGTCCACCTTCACCCCTGGTCTAGCTTCATCCCCAGTCCAGCTTTGCCCCTGGTCCAGCTTCCACAAACATTATACTTTAAATGTAAGTTAAATATAATACATCCTTGGGTGTTTTATTAATATAATTCAAATGCTTCTTCATGAAACTTTATTTTTATGTGTGCTATACTCTTAGTACCAAGAGCCAGGAAACCAAGAGACAAATTGCACTGGGAAAGTTGGTTGTCAAGGACCTCGCCAGAGTACTAAAGAGCAACAACATCAGTCTGGAGACTAAGGTGCACTTGGTCCGAGGCCATAGTCTTAATAATTACTTTCTATGCATCAGAGAGCTGGACAATGATTAGGGATGATAGAAAATTGATTCCTTTGAGCTGTGGTGCTGCAGAAGAGTGATGAATATACCATGTACTGCCAGGAGAACAAACAGGTTCATCTTAGAGAGGGTGAGAAACAAGGTTGCTCCTTGGAGGCAAGGATTCTGAGGCTTCATCTGACATACTTTGGGCATGTTTCAAAGAGGGACTGGTCATTGGAGAGAGATATGCTTGGAAAGGTGAGAGAGGACAGAGAAAGAGAGGAAGACCACTGATGAGATGGATTGATTCAGTAACTGCGATAATGAGGGTAGGTGTGTTAGAGACAGTTAATTAGGCTCAGGATAGAGCAGGTTTCAGGGCTATTGCACCCAGGGTCACTATGAATCGTAAGCCACTCAACAGCAAATAATAATAACAATTTACTTAAAATGTGGTTGAATTATAGAAGGAATAGGAAAAATCAAATCAAGATGGAAGGAAAAGGACTAAATATCAGAGATGTGATAAACTGTAAACAAAACATCTGCTGCTTTTAACATTTTTAATATCTGCAGGATTTTAAAAATCGGCATCCAAGGTGAAGACATTATCTGTGGTTTCTGACATAACTGCAAAACGCTGATACTCCGAAACTCGTTTTTCAAAAAAATTTGTTTTCCCTTCTAATGAAATGTTTTCCATAAAATCAAAGGGATTCTCTGCCTGAAAAACCTAAAAAGAAAAGAAATGCTATTATACATTCTGAATAACACAAATTATATTCCACAAAAAGAGGAACAGATGACTAGAATGGCTAGCCACCCTGGGGAACTCTGCAGAAGACTGGTTGAGTCAGCACTCAAAACTGACATAGTTGAGGATGGCTGAGGTCACCGATTAACATTCCCAAGTAATAGTACTAGCATATTAAATAAGCACTCCAAAACATAGATGGGGAAAGATTATGGTTCGCCTCGAGACATCTGCTTTAGACATGCCATCAGTAAAGTGCAATCACTGGAGGAAGACTACTTGTTAGGTGAAGTGGATGGCTGGCCAGCAGGGTGAAGGAGATCCTCATGTGCTAGCAATAAAAAGGATAATTCAGAAAAGGGCAATGTTTTGTTCTGTTATAGATAAGGTTGTCGAAGGTGGAAGTCAATTCAACAGCAGCAATCTATCTACCTACCTTTATGAAGTTAGTCATACACATAAAAATACCTATGCTTCTGCACACTCATTCCACACTTATCAACATGACTAAATGTCAAAGATGATATATATCAAACCACAAAAATGGAAGATGAGTACATTGTCAACTGTAAAACCACCAAGAATCACAGCCAAGCCAAGCTGATGTTGTTGTGTGTCATCGAGTCACAAACCACCTTGTAACCGATCCTCCAGAAGGTTTTCAGAGACAACAAATTACATGAGAGGAGTCTGTCCATCCTTCTCCCTCAAAGGAGAAGCGACGTTGATAGAACAACTCAATCAATCACTGCTCTCACCTTCACCTCAGTATCTTTTACTATGAGACACACATTGTCAATGCTTATACAAAAGAATTGTATGTTGTTATGTGCCGTCGAGTCGTTTCCGACTCATAGCGATCCCATGCACAACAGCCCTAAACCCTGCTCTATCCTGTGCCAACCGCACCGCCTCTGACACACCCATCCCGATTACCCCAGTCACCGAATCAATCCATCTC